TGCTTCCTTAGTACGTGATTTTTCTTTTTTGCTTTGTAACGTCAGGAGCGTTATCAACAAGCGCGACGCCTTGTCTTCTTTAATTGACGCATGTCTTGCTGATGTTGTGGTCTTGACGGAAACTTGGCTATCCGCAAAAGTAGATAATAGTGAGATTTTAAACTGCCAAAAGAAGTATCGGTTCTACAGATGTGACAGGGGAACTCGGTCTGGGGGTGGCGTTTTGATAGCGGTTTGCGACGAGTTGGTTTCTTTTGGTGTGTCGCTTGCTTCGCCTCTAGAATTAACTTCTGTGCGCATTCGTCTGAACCACAAGGATGTAATTTTTTGCGCTTGTTATCGCCCCCCTAATTCACCTTCTGGATTTTCTTCTGATCTATATGATGCTTTGAATACATTACACGTAAGGTATCCGTCATTGCCCATTTTTAGAGCGCAGCTCTTAGGGGCCCGTTCCCGGCTTGAGCGGCGTCGGCGTCGCCGTTGGCGTCGCTGTCGCCGTCGGCGTCGGCGTAACCAAGGTCATCCCAAGGTCACGTGACCCCCAAGGTCACGTGACCCCTCCCAAGGTCATCTCAAGGTCACGTGACCCCAAGATGACCCCACGTGACCCTTTGAAGGTCACGTGACCCCAAGTCACGTGACCCCCTGAGGTCATGTGACCCCCGAGGTCACGTGGTCTCCCCAAGGTCACGTGACCCTTTCCAAGGTCATCTCAAGGTCACGTGACCCCAAGGTGACCCCCCAGGTCACGTGACCCCTCTGAGGTCACGTGACCTCAAGGTCACGTGGGGGTCATCTTGGGGGTCACGTGACCTTGAGGTGACCCCCAGGTCACGCCTCCCCGAGGTCACGTGACCCCCTCCCCGAAGTCACGTGACCCCCCCCCCCCCGAGGTCACGTGACCCCCCCCCGGAGCATATTAAAGAATGAGGGGAGGAGGAGGAGAAGGGGGAGGGGTCTACCCTCCCCTCAGTACCCTTCAGTCCTCCTCCTCAAGAGCTGCGCTCCAATTCGGCGTTACAGGGATTTGTAAACGGCTTTCACTTTTTGTTCTTGGTGATTTTAATTTCCCTGGTGTTTCCTGGGACGCACCTATTCCCGTAGCAAGCTTCGGCTCTCTTGAGTGCAATTCCTTTCTTACTACATGCTCGGATTTTAACTTGACTCAGCTCGTGAAATGTCCAACCCGTACTACCCCGACAAGTGCCACTATCCTTGACCGAGTATTCACTACCCATCCAGATCTTGTACAATCACTTTCAGTTTTTCCAGGTGTAAGCGATCATTCCGTCATTCACTTTAATATTCCAAACAGTTCGCCTCGCAAATGTGCAGCTTCATAGGTATTTAGAGACTATAGTAGGGCTGACTACACCGGTATTAATAATGAACTTGAGATATTTTTATCAGATTTTCTTCAAAAATTTTCTGACCAATCGTTGGAAGATAATTGGTGTATGTTTAAATCGAGAGTAACTGTTCTTACTAGCCGTTATATAACCCTTCGTAAAATTAGAAATACACAGTCACCTTGGTATACGCCAAACTTAAAACGGTTATCAAACAAAAAAGCGCCTTTTTCGACGAGCCAAGATATCAATGATCCCAGAGAGATGGGCAGCTTATCATTGTGCAGAGGATGAGTACGCACGTGCACTGTCTCTCGCCAAACATACTTTTTTTAATCAAACCCTTCCATCGCTACTGGAAACTAATCTGCGTAAGTTTTGGCACGTTGTGAGCGGAAGTGAAAGGAAACCAATTGAACTTGCTACGGATAGTGAATCGGTCGTTCCTAGGGAAAACTGCTGCGTTGTTTTAAACTCTGCATTCTCATCGTCGTTTGTTAACAGCACGCCATGTATGTTTCCCGATGTTCCGGTTCATGATTTTATTCCGATGGATCCAATAGTTATTGACTGGGCAGGCGTAATGAAATTAATTCAAAATATGAAGCTTTCCTCTTCTCCAGGTGATGATGGCAGTAACCCCAAATTTTTGAAGAACACCGAAGTGTATTCATCTATAATATTGTCGAAGATTTTTGCACAATCATTAGAATCCTGTACGCTCCCGAACGACTGGAAGGTGGGAAAGGTGGTTCCTCTGCACAAATCAGGTAACACTCATTGTCCCAATAATTATAGACCCATTTCATTAACCAGTATACCGTGCAAACTCATGGAACATGTCATATACTGTCATATGGTGTCCTTCCTCGAAACTAATTCTTTTTTTAGTATGCATCAACACGGCTTCAGAAAACATTACTCATGTGAAACTCAACTACTCGCCTTTACTAACGACTTATTCTCTGCTGCAGATCACTTAATCACTGTTGACTGCATTTTCATCGACTTTTCTAAAGCATTTGATAGTGTCTGTCATAGTCTGCTCCTGTATAAATTAAGTAAACTTAACATGGACCCTAATATTTTTAAATGGATAGAATGCTTCTTGTCTAATCGCACGCAATATGTAACCGCCAATGACCATAACTCCCCTCACTGTCCTGTAACGTCCGGTGTCCCGCAGGGGTCAGTGCTAGGGCCCTTGCTTTTTCTTATTTATATTAACGACTTACTTAGCTGCATTTCTTCATGTATAAAACTTTTTGCTGACGACTGTGTTGTTTATCGCAAAATTCTGGAACCTGCTGATCATCATGCTCTTCAGTCTGACCTCGATAACATTTCATTTTGGTGTGACACCTGGCTAATGAAACTTAACCCTGCTAAATGTAAGTCAATGAGAATTGCACGTCATTCAAATTACATCCTACCATGTGACTACTTACTTAACCGTGTTCGCCTAACGCAAGTTTCGTCCTACAAATATCTTGGCATTATCATTTCTGCTAACCTTTCATGGCAAGATCACGTCAACTAAACTAACTTGGAACTCATACTTTATAAAACTTTAGTGAGGTCAAAGCTTGAATATGCATCATCAATCTGGGACTCTCATATTAACTCCATTATTCTTCAAATAGAAGCCATTCAAAACCGTTCCGCGCGTTTCATCTTCTCAAATTACTTTCGAACTGCCAGTGTCACTTCCATGAAATCTAATCTTAACTTACCCGATCTTTCATTGCGTCGTAAACTATCTCGTCTTTGTCTCTTTCACAAGGTTTATCATTTCAATTCTCTACTCAGTGACTCTCTCTTTCTCCCACCATCGTACATTTCTTCCCGCAGCGACCATCAGTTCAAGGTTGGCGTCCCAAGCAGCCGCACCAATTTGCACTTCCACTCGTTCATTCCCAAAACCTGCGCAGACTGGAACCACCTCCCCGCCTCCATCGCTTCAATCACCGACAGCGACCGTTTCAAAAGCGCCATTTGCAACCATTTTTTGTAATCTCCCTGCTGTGTTTATGTTAATGTTGTATTTTTTTTTTGCTTCCCCACTCCTCTTTGTAATGCTTCGGCCTTGAGAGTAAATAAATGAAATGAAAATAAATGAAATTCGTCGATATTTACATATTCTTACGATTAACACAGGAAAAAAACGATTGTTGTCACCGTAATTTCGCTGAAGGAAATGGTATGGGACTTCGTTTCCGGACGGGCATTGGGTACAGCGGGGCGTAATTTGCCGGCTGGACGCCGCGAAGTGGCCAGTACGACGGTGACAAATGGGTCAATAGTTTTGTAATTAGCAGCCGCATACTGTCGCCACGAAGCGGCGTGAACGCAGGCGGGGGGCACGATTGTAGGCGCGATTGGAGTGCCGTTGGACGGCACTGTAGACACGAATAAAAATTAAAGTTCCGTCCGACGTATCTTTAATTTTTATTTCGAGTTCAGTCGGAAATAACGCTAGACACTGCGAACAACGCATAGAATTATGCGTTGTTACGTCGGACGCAACTTTAATTTTTATTTCGGGTTCCGTCGGACGTAAACCTAGACACTGAGTACAGCGTTATGTTTTTCGTGTGCTTCGTGCGTTTACCAAACTGGCGACTTTGTGCCTGTTATTTTGGCATTCTGAATTCTTGCTTTTATTTCGGGTAGTTGCACAAAGACAGTCCACAGCGCTCCTTCAAGCGCATTTGCAATAGCTCCAAACTAGCAATTGAGGGGTTGACAATCGCACCCGGAGTTGCCGTCTGCCACCCCTGTAGACAAACTCGCGTCACTGGCAGACTTCATGAAGGCGAGCTGTGTGTTCTTACTGTGCTCGTCTTCATTAACAGCAAGATCTGTCCGGAGTGATATGCCAGCTGCAATGTGACGATCGCACCTGTGGGCACAGTCGTGGAGGTCTTTTCTGAGTGCCCTGCAGGCCACCACTCCTATTGGGTCAACCAAAAGATTGTGAATCAGCCACCACTTCTCAACTTGCTGATCTGCGCGGGTACCCTGTTCGCAGGGCAGAACCTCACTCCATCTTTGAGGATGTTGTCGAGCATTGGTGTGCAAGTCGTCAGCTGCTCTACATTTTTCACCCTACAGCGGACTCACCTCTGGCCGGCTATTGGTAGTGTGAGTGTTGACATGCATCTGCTCAATCGCATAGCCAACCATACCAACACCCTACTCACTCACTGCTTGTCTGATGCTTGAAATATCAATATAAGCCGAAAGTTACGAAGTAGGCATACTATCTTATTTGCAGGTGTGGAATTAAGAACAGCCTTCTTTGCTGGAAGAGGCAAGGGCCAATGCCCTAAGGCTGGCCGGGGATGGTCGGGCGGATTCGCCGGGGTTCAGCGCCAGGTTCGGCACATACTCTGTGCTGGATCTCGAGACCACAAAGATTGTTCATTTCGAACTTGTGCAGGTATGAATGGAGCCCTCTGAGCACCAGTTTAGTTGGTTACATGCATTTAGGCAAACCTTTAAGAAGAGTGTCTAATGTTGATTGTACTAGCGAAATTGAAATTATGAACCTCTCATTCCAAATACTGATAGGCTACTTTATCTGTGTAGTGCCTAATGTAATGTGTTTTCACTTGACAGTCTAATGAGGTGGGCGGCAGTGGTCGTATGGGGCTGGAGGGGCTTAAGAAAAGCTCAGCGTTTTGGAGGCGAAAGCATCACCGTGAAGCTCCTCGTCACCGACCGTCATGTACAAGGCAAAGCCTTCATAAAGAAGTTAAAGTCTGAGATTCGCCATGAGTTCGACATGTGGCACGTTTTGAAATGTGCCGTTTGCCTGTTTTGGAATATGTGTCTGAATCTCCAGAGCTGCCTTTCTTTTGTAAAATAAATCAGTAGCTAATGGGACACAAAATATTGCAATTAAAACAACTCTTTAATACAGTGCGTGTGCTGGCTGAAAATTTTGAATCACAGATGGCTGAAACATACAAGTGGCAAGCTGTAAAAAAACCTCTGGAACTATGCGCAGCCAGCATGCCCGAGTTCGCTAAGCCCAAATATAAAGCTTGAACAAAGGTCACAAGGTAGTGTCGAAGAGGCAGATTTGTTATATTTATCTCATTATTGTAGGTCGATATTTATTCCATACTCTGAAGTCTATCCACTGTGGCCCGCTTCCTCTTTAAAGTCTCATCATGCTGCAGTCTGGTGTGCTTGCCTACAGAGTTATTCGAAAATGAATCGTGATGAAGCGTTCAAACATTAACGGGCTGTACAAATAGTATTCTTGTTGATAAACAAGAATTACAACTTCTGTAATTCCTCATTTAGCTGAATAAAGTGCTGCTGTTCTCAGAAACGCATATTCTTATTCTCAGGCATCAAGAAAGACCTTGTCGCGACCATGAGGAGCCCCACGTGTGCCGAGCTTGCGCTCTAGAGAAGTCCAGTGCAGAACCACCTATGCTGGGCGGCTGCTTCCAGCCAGGGAAATCCGGACCCGATTGTCAGTGGCTGTCCGTTCTAAACCACATTCGTGACATCCACAACCACACGGATGCCCGATTTTCCTCCTGTACCCACGGGGAGCTTGAGCCCAGAGATTGGCTAGCTGTTGGATGGTACGTATCAAATCTTGACTACTACTCATCCTTTCTGATCGCTTTACCATCCTTCCCTAGCCGTCTTTTCTCTCACAATTGCGCTCACTCCAGACTCTGTGGCCTTCAAAAAGATTCAAACCATCGTAACCATGCGATATCTGCTGGCCGACTTGTCGAAACTCTCCACGCGCTACCAGACATTCACCGTGGAGGCGTTTCATGGGCTCTGGAAGAACTTCTGTCCCAAGTTATACCAATACTCGTACAAGGGGATGACGGCAAGGTGAGTTGTAACACGCAAGATCTTTTCATGTGGCAGCCTCCAATGGTGTTATTTTCAACTAATAATTGATTCATATTTTTAAATAAGGCATTGGTGAGAAATACAAATAAAAACATTTATACACTGCTATTTCTGCACATGTCGCGGTCATCCTAGCAGGAAGTTGGTGCGAGATCACCTTGACACTTATCTCTGAAAAATCGTTGTTTCTCATCATCTCTACAATTATCTCTGCAAAATCATTATTTCTCTTCAGACCCCAGCTTGCAGTCCTCCATTTCAACGAAAATGGCAACCGACTTCAAGCGTCGACAGAGGAGGGTGACAAGTGCTATGACGTGAAGCACCCCAAGGCCAATGGAGGGGAACCAGTGGCAGTCAAAAAAAAAAGAGGGACGAACATATGGTACGCATCAAACAGCTTTTATGTTTATTTAGCTTGATTGCACAGTTTTAATTCAAGATTACAAACTAAAAGCAAAAGGGGCTACTGGTACTGAAGTGTGGTGGTGCAGCAACATTTAAAATATTTATAGCATTCATTGAAGTCAAGGTGATTATGTAAATCTGAAAAGTTATACGCAGACGTTTTCACACTTTGCACATTAACTAAATTTTATTATTTTGAACTATTTTGTTAGAGACTATGTCAGGAGGCTCCTTGATGTGGTCAGGGATGGGGCCCAGTTGAAAACTCGAGGCCTCATCCTGATCACGCCTTTCGAGGATCTACCACAACTCTGCAGCTCTGCGAAGAAAGTTCCGAAGGCGGAGCTGATAGAAAGGCATAAAACAAGGTTCAACAAATAAGGATTGTTTTATATGAGACTACATATCACATTTGGGAGCTTTTATTGATTTGCCCCAGTAAGCTTACTGTTCGTATTCCCACTTTTTCTGTTCCCTATTCTGGGGTACCCTCGGTTCACTGGGCACCCGACTCCAGGATTCTCAACCTACAAGCCCTGCAACGTCGCATCATCTCGTCCAGTTGTTGCACGAGGGATGTTTTTTTTTTTCGTACACCAGCTTTTCTTTCTGATTGGGACCAGTGTGGCCTTTTTTTTCCGTGTAACTTTGCTTCAATCCTGTTCGTAAATTAGGAAAGGTTCACATTTATTATGCACATGTTCTGCCTTTCCTAATCGGGAATATTTTTCTCTATAAACTTCAAGCAATTGAAAACGTGTTCCTGCCTTGGATTGGGGGGGGGGGGGGGGGGGGTCGTACACGTGCCGAAACCCGGCGTAAGCTTGGTCCTTTGATGAAAACTTCTTTCGGACCTTGTTGACGACCCAGCTTGGAAGGATCCGTCTATTTTTGTTGCCGAGACGCTTCCATGTTAGGAGCACAAACTGCCTGTAGCAATGTTTCGCATCTGCCTAGAAAGACAAAAATGGGATTTTGAGTGGATTCTTTTTGTACACTGTGGCATAATTTTTTTTTTTGCATTGTGATCTGACAAGGTCTGTGCCCTGCACCCACTCCCTAATTTGATGCAAAGAGCACCTTTCACTGTACAAGTTGTTCTAAATAATTGCTTTTTCTTGAAAAGAACGAAACAGTGATTGCTTTTTTGAAATAAATATGTAATACTCCCATACTGGTATACTCACCTGTCGTTCGGATAACAGGGTCTGTACCCGTCGTGCCTCCTGCTTGCCAAGGCGATGTCAGCAGAGTCTTGTTAAGGCAGGCTTGTTTAAATATTGCCTTCTTCGTCACAAATTCGTTATTTTTCAATTGTTTCGCGATTTCTACCACCTCCTGGCAGCATATGCTCTCCTCTTCGGTGGTCATGGTTTTGCACTCTTCACAGGAACACCTATTGAAAATAACAGATTAAACCTGTTGGGAATAAGCGATATGAAACTATTTGCGAATTGTTCTTTTTATTTGTTTTCATATCAACTAACCCTTTGCAAACGAAATGCATGTGCATCCAAAAGAGGTAGGAACTTGTATGACTTGCTAGAATCATGATTGAAATTTTATAGCGTGCAATGAGTGAAAAAAGAAAAGGTACCCGTTTTGAGAGGATACCATCGGATGTGTGGTCTAACGAAGCGAGCGAACGTCAAACAGCACAGCTCTGGAAGAACACAAGGAATTTAATACGCTCGACACGAGTAGACGATTCGGAAACATGTGTTCATAACAATAAGTCTGTCACGACAACGACATGCAAGTGCACCAAAATATGTCTCGTGTACGGGAAAGGTAAATAAATAAAAAAAGGAACGGGCGATGAGCACAAAAGCGCGTGCCGTTATTGATTGAGGCGAGGTGTACAGCAGCGCATTCGAGGAAGAAACAAACTCGCAAGCTGCACGAAGTGCAGACTAACTTGCACGCCGTATGGACCCTGTGAAAACATCGGTCGTGAATGGAGGCTGTTTTTTTTGCATATGGTCCATTTGTCACGAACGCTTCGATTAGCGTAATGCTCATGGAATATTGTGGCCGACGATAATCAGTACGTCGTGTAGCGGCCATAGCCCAATTTACCCACAATCGGAAAATTGCACCGCTAACATATTGTTTACAACGCATCTAAAAAACTTTGGATGAGCGCCACTTACTGTCCGCTCAGCATCGTACCAAATTTACCTTAAAGTTAAGTGGGAAAAAAATCGAAGAAATTTCCCTCTTACTAAGTGGGACCGGGCTTAGAGTGTGTGATTGGGAGAGGACCCGCTTGCACTGGGGCCAATAGAATTGTATAATTGTCCTGATTGGACAGGCCCTGTGTCAGCGGGGAGTTTTCTCGACCACGCTGGCGAGAAAACGTTGAGTTTGAACAAGCCCGTGCGCGGAGCAAGTTATCTCCCGCGGTTCGCCGGTCCGCGTACCTTTATCGCGAGCGAGCTGCAGTTTCTTTGAGCCTCGCCGTGCGCGGCGAGCACTTTGCGCCGAGGCGCGTTTTTCGTATTTCTACTGCCGTGAGCGGACAGTAGAGTCCTGTAACAAAGTTTGCCGTTGTTGTTTTAATATATTTGTTTTTATCAATCGTTGCTCCCGACTTTGAGCGTCTTTCCTCTAGGCTCCGCCACCACCAACAAGCACCGAAGCAACCATCCAGTGCGGCAGTCCACGATCGCCCGGCCCTGACCTACGACTTCTACGAAGGACCGCGACAAAACAACCTGACCCTCAGGGAGGGGCATTCTTTACTAGGTCATTCTGCAAAAGCTCATAGTCCTCTTCGCATGTGATGTCACGGTAAACACAGCAGTCATCGGCATATAGTTGAAGAAATATTCACAGCTAAATCATTTATGTATATCAATAGAAGAAGGGGACCGAGGACAGATCCCTGAGGGACACCCGATAAGACGCTTACATTTGACGAGCTCAGACCGTCGAGGACCACGTTTTGCTTTCTTCCTACGAGAATGACACAAAGAGAGCACTTGAATGTGTGCATCAGCAGCGCCAAACTATTTGCGCTGCAGCAAAAGCGTTCGGGGCACCCAAAAATGCACTCCAAAGGCACGCAATTAAGCTCAAGAAATGTAAAGAGCAAGTGCTTAAAAAAATTGAGTGGGATCCAAACGACGAGTTCTCGACCAGTAGGAGAAAGAGCTCGTCAAGAATATTCTGTGTACGGAGTTTTTTTGTTTTTTTTTGGTGGGGGGGGGGGGGGGGGGAGAGGGGGGGGGGGCTCCCGCACAAGGAAGCCCAAAGGATATAGTTTCCACCTACTGAAAGCAATTGAAATTGCCCACCCGTTTAACAAAGAACAAAAGCTAGCTGGCAAAGAAAGGGTTTGAAGTTAGGCAGTTGCAAATAATCGAACATTTTTATGTAAGGCAGTATGTCAAGTTTATACAAAACACCTTTGAGGATGGCTTTGATGTCACAATCTACTTCAGTTTTTCAAAATTCGGAATAATTGCCGAAAACGGTTATACAGTAGCGAAAGACGCTATTGGCAAGCGAATCAGCATTTATCCTTCGAGGAGATACGGGAACAATATCTTGTATTATATAAAAGACAACAAGCGCTTCTCAGTTTTTTTTCTTCAGATATATGTAAAATGAAAATCAAATTTAAGAGCACTATCAAAACATATGCCAGTTTTTTTACACTATCTGTAGATGCTACCGGAATGCAGGCGCATTGATGACAGAAGAAGGGTGCAGAATTAATGGGATGTTGAGAGTGACTGTTTTCAGTGAATTACGAATCATACTAGTTTCGTCTTTTTAAGAATTATTTCAACGAGGCTTTTTTTAACTAGTTCATTATTGAAATCCCGTGAGATTTCAACTGGCAGATGAAAATTGCATAATTGATGTGTTGGCAATAATTACAGTGTCGTCAGCATGTTGGTAAAGCTTACATCACGGTATTATGGTAGTGATTTCATTGACAAACATATCAAGCACAAGAGGGGACGTAATGGACCCTTGTGGTATTCCGACTTTTAGTTCAGTCCAAAAACTCTGAAAACCAGACTCGGACGCCAGTTGAGAGCAACGAGAAAGATAGTTTTCGGGAAGAACATAAACTGAAACTAAATCCTAGGCTCTATTGTTTCTTCAACAGTATCTTGTGGCTTACTGTGTCGAAGGCTTTCGGCCTAAGAATAGTGCGGAGGTAATAAGATTGTGATCGAACGCTGAATATAGGTAATCTGGAATGTATTCTAGAAAAGGTTGAGTCCATTTGCCTTGCAGAAAGCCATTGAGTCGGAAATAATATATTACATTTTGTCTAAGGAAGATATCATTACACTAAACACATGTATTTTGAGTATCTGAGCAGTGACTTGCAAGAGAGAAATTGGGCGATAGTTTGCAATGTTGTTTCTTGCACCACCTTTGTATAAAAACATATTAAACCAGTCAACATAAATAGAAGGACGTAATTCCGACTGCTTGTACTTACAGTAACATAAAACTAAATATAATTAGTTTTTTTTGATAAGAGGAAGCAACGCCGAGGGGGGGACAAGGTTATCAACTGCATCAAGGCTATATCTCGCCTAACCAGAAAACGTTTCAAAGAAAACGTTAGAATCCTGTACAAGCAATTGCAAATTATCACCAAAATGTCGTCTTAATGTATCGTCAATGAAACAACTTTGGTGTTCACGAGCTCATTTACCAGATACAAAGATATACGCGCATCCGAATGAGATTGGAAGAATAATCTGCGATAAGAAATGTTTCGACAGGATTTGAAGATATTACTATTATTATAAAACAAGTAATAGTAACAATAATAATCAATAAATCAGCGTTTATTACAGTGTTCAGGTACAACCTATGGGTCTGTGTTGGCACTTGTACGAAAATAAATACACACAGAAAATAATACACACACCAAGAACTAAAGTTTAAAGCCGAAAGCTGCCCACATTTCGAATGCTAACAAAAATAACTGATTCAGAGGGAAGTTCAATCTTCAGGACAAGCATTGAGTATAAAACAGACCCGAACACGACAGTCGTATTTGAAGCACGTGAAAAAAACGATTTTACTAACTTGGAGGTACATTGAAGCCCATTCTATGTATAAAAAGGCATATAAACGGAATATCGCAGGTTCGTCAAAGTATTCAAGGACTTGTAGAACTAAAAGCAAGGTAGAAGCATTCTAACAAAAAGTAAAGACGTGGACATTTTAAAGAGAATTTAAGTAAGGCGTTCTTGGCGTCAAGACGCTGGAAGTGGCGATTATAGTGTGACGTGTGCCAAGTTCGGTGATTTATTTATATTCCAGAATGTTGGCGCGCTCCAAGTAACAGACGATTGCATGAGAAATGTCTCGCCAATAGTAGCTTAGGAAGCAGGCGCCTGAAA